ACGGCCCTCAGCCCCTCATCCAGGCTGGCCAGGCACCCCAGTGGGGAACCCCCCACCCTGATCCAGGACACCCTTCAGGGCAAACCAGCCGGCCCCCACCCGTTGTCCCTGTCCATTGGTTAGACCTATATGCTTGCATGTAAGTCCTTTGGTTGATCTTTCCCCCTTACCCCCACCCTCCCCTACCTTCCCTCCAAGGCCCGACAGTCCAATCAATGCCTCTCCGTCTCTGGATCAGTCCTCGTTCATCAGTTTATGAAGTTCATTATATTCCACAAATGAGTGAGATCATGTGGTATTTATTCTTCTCTGACTGGCTTATTTCACTTAGCATAATGCTCTCTAGTTCCATCCATGGTGTGGCAAATGGTAAGAGTTCCTTTTTCTTCTTCCTCTTCTTAAAGAATACCTTTCAGCATTTCATATAATGCTGGTTTGGTGGTGATGAACTCCTTTAGCTTTTCCTTATCTGTGAAGCTCTTTATCTGACCTTCACTTCTGAATGATAGCTTTGCTGGATAAAGTAGTCTTGGTTGTAGGTTCTTGGTATTCATCACTTTGAATATTTCTTGCCACTCTCTTCTGGCCTGCATAGTTTCTGTTGAGAAATCAGCTGACAGTCGTATGGGTACTCCCTTATAGGTAACTGACTTTTTTTCTCTTGCTGCTTTTAAGATTCTCTCTTTGTCTTTTGCTCTTGGCATTTTAATTATGATGTGTCTTGGTGTGGTCCTCTTTGGATTCCTTTTGTTTGGGGTTCTCTGCGCTTCCTGGACCTGTAAGTCTATTTCTTTCACCAGGTAGGGGAAGTTTTCTGTCATTATTTCTTCAAATAGGTTTTCAATATCTTGCCCTTTCTCTTCTTCTGGTACCCCTATAATTCTGATGTTGGTATGCTTGAAGTTGTCCCAGAGGTTCCTTACACTATCTTCGTATTTTCGGATTCTTTTTTCATTTTGCTTTTCCAGTTGGGTGTTTTTTGCTTCTTCGTATTTCAAATCGTTGACTTGATTCTTGCGATCCTCCAGTCTGCTGTTGGGAGTCTGTATAATATTCTTTATTTCAGTCAGTGTATGCTTAATTTCTAGTTGGTTCTTTATCACAACATCGAGGGTCTCACTAGATTTATTGAGGGTCTCACTACATTTATCGGCGGTTTCCATAAAATTCTTGAAAAATCTTAGAACCGTGGTTTTGAACTCTATATCTAGTCGTTTGCTGTCCTCCATTTCTGTCATTTGTGACCTGTTTCTTTGTCTTCGCATTTTGTCTGCTTCCCTGTGTTGGTAGAGTGGTTTTGTGTGCTAGGTGTCCTACAGGGCCCAGTGGCTCAGCCTCCCCAATTACCTGAGGTGGACACTCTTGGTGCACCCCCTTGTGGGCTTTGTGCACAGTCTTGTTGTAGTTAAGCCTTGATTGTTTTAGGTGTCACTGGGAGGAATTGACCTCCAGGCCAATTGGCAGTGAGAATCAGCTGTGTCTGCAGTGGGAGAACTTCTGTGCTGAAGACACCCTTATGGGGCAAGACTTGCTTCAGTGGGGCTTTGGTGCTCACTGAGTCTGCCCCCTGCTTGTGTTCCTTATGAATCTGAGGAGTTGTAATCTGGGTGTTCCCACTCTGACCACTGGGTACACTGACTCTTGGATCTAAGGAGGTGCTAATTAAGCCTCTTCCTGAGGTTACCCAGCAGGAGCTACGAAGAGATATGCAGATTCCCCTTCCTTTTTTGGGGGTTTGGGGGTGCCCAGATGAGGCCCAGCTGAGAAGCAATGCAAGCTGCTGTGGGGTCTTGGGTCTTCTCTTGGAAGTTCTGGGTCTGTCTGGCCCAGCTGAAATTTGTTAGGTAGTTGTCAGGTTGCAAAGGACCCGGGCATTCATATGCAAAAGGCTTTGCAGCAGCCTGGAAGGGGCGGGGTCTCGGAATCAACAGGGCAGAGCAAGCAGCTATGGCTGATTCTCAGCCCTGCCCTAAGGGGTCGAGCGTCTCAGTGTCCCAGTAATTGCTGCAAGCACCTCTGAGGGAAAGCCGTCCTCAAGTTCCGAGTTCTGCCAGCTGCCAGACCGTCCAGTTTCTCACCGTATGAGCCCGGGGACCCCAGAGATTTCCCGGAACCGGAGTTCAGCGCAGTCGGGAGCTTGTGACTCCCTCCCGATTCAAAAAGACAGCCGCGTCCTCAGGTGCCTGCCCCTTTCCCCTGCGCGCTGCAGCCTCCGTACCTCTGCACTTTACTTTCGTAGCTCCTCTGAGTCTGTGTGCTCTTCTCTTTCCTTCTAGTTGTAGAATTTCCACTCAGCCAGCCTTCCTGTGGTTCTGCATGATGACCGTTCTGTCTTTTAGTTGTATTTTTGAAGTTGTCGGAGGCAGCAATTTCCGGTGTTTTCCTATGCCGCCATCTTGGTTTCTCCCCCTCTAAGTATTCTTTAGATTTTAGTCACACTCTATTTCTCTCAATATAAAAGTTAACAGCCCAGCTGGTGTGGCTCAGTGGTTGAGTGTTGACCCATGAACCAGGGGTTACAGTTTGATTCCCGGTCAGGGCAAATGCTTGTGAGCTTGATCTCTTGTAGGTGGGCATGCAGGAGGCAGCCAATTGATATTTCTCATCATTGATGTTTGTATCTTTCCCTCTCCCTTCCTTCGTCTCTCTGAATTAAAAAAAAAAAAATTTAACAGAAGTTAACTCTCTCGCGCCCCTCCCCCCCCTCAAATTAATGAGAAGTTTTCTTCTGGGAATATATATATATATTTTATGTACCCCTTAAAAATATACCTATGAAAAATACTTTCCTGCATTATATATATGTACTGTGTTTAATAGGCCAGGAAAATCCCTCATATATATATGAGAAATTATATCTCTTCCCACTGCTGTTATAAGAGAGAGAGAGGCAGATCTGTTCTTTTTATATTTCATAAGGAATTTTAAGAATTAAAAACCCAAATGAGAGTGTATTGAAAGAAAAAAATAAAATATTTTAGAAGTGATGATTTTCAGTTATTCAGATTCTTACTATAGAAGGTAATTTCTCAAATAAATATATTGTCTCCTTAAGAAAAACAGTGTGACATTTGTTCTGGTTTCTAGGACCATTGTATTTTCTAATGATCAGGATTGAAAAATGGCTTTAAAAAATAGTTGTTGTAAGTCCTTCACTAACATTTCATAGTTTAAAAGTCCAAGTTTATAAAAATCTTAGACATGAGACTCTTATAGATTGTCATTTCTCTGCTATTTTCTTTCTTTTGATTTTCTTTCTAATGTTTTCTCTTAGCAGCCCAGCTGGTTCGCAACCTTGTAAATGCCCAACAAGTGGCTAATTCATCCCAGCAACAGGGTGATCAATCCATAAGGACTAGACAGTCCTCAGAATGTGTAAGTACTCTGCCTGCAAAGGGGTTAGTCTTGGCCGGGAGATAGTACTATTTTGGCTGGGTGACAGTGTTGATCTTTCCAGACTGGTAAATGCAATCTTCCAGATTACATGGTGCTTTTTGGAGGGTCCTTGCTAAGCATATGAAGTGGAAAGGAGCATTATTTTGGGGGTAATGCAGATTTGTGTTTATACCTATGAGCAAGCTCCTTAACTTCATTGAGCCTGCTTCCTTATTTGTAAAATAAGATAACTACCTAATAAGGTTGTTGGTTAGATTAAAATAAGTTAATGACTTTGAAGTTGCAGGTTTTGCCCAGTGTAAAGATATCTGTACCATTAATAAAAATAGACAAAAATTTGAGCTATATTAGGGGTTTGGTATGTTGGAGCAATACACACATGGCATTTTACTTGCTTGAAACTTTTGTTTGTCATTTTATAGCTGTTATGGATACCTAGTGAAATATACCCTGTAAATGACAGAGCATTGAATTAGAATTCAGATTCACAGGTTTCATATTAACTTTGTTGAGTTACTCTTAACCTTTGTCTGAATCTGTATTCACCTTGCACTTTTTATATTAATTCGATATTAATTGAATGTTTATTATAAACCTGACATTGTGCTTTAGTGCTTCACACTTATCAAATTTAATACTTTCAGTGGCCATGTGAAATGGTAGGTAATTAGTATTGTCAAATTTTACAAATTGGGAAGCTGAGAACAAGAAATTAAAAGATTCAAACCCAGGTCTATGTAGTTTCAAAGCTGTTAACTCTTAAATATGTTAAAGCTGATGTGATCTGCATTTTCGAAAAAATAGAACATTTGAAAACTAGTAATAGGGAGAGTCTTGGAAGAACATTTAGGAGCCCACTAAAATGTGTCTACTATCCTGAATTTGGTGTGTATGTTTTCTACATGTATTGTTTGATCTTCACAAAAACTTTTGAGGTAGATTGTTATTATTTATATTTTATTTTATTATTTTTTAAATGTATTTTATTGATTTTTTACACAGAGGAAGGGAGAGGGATAGAGAGCCAGAAACATCGATGAGAGAGAAACATTTTTTTAAAAATTCTATTTTATTGATTTTTTTACAGAGAGGAAGGGAGAGGGATAGAGAGTTAGAAACATCGATGGGAGAGAAACACCGATCAGCTGCCTCCTGCACACCCCCTACTGGGGATGTGCCTGCAACCAAGGTACATGCCCTTGACCGGAATCGAACCTGGGACCCTTCAGTCCGCAGGCCGACGCTCTATCCACTGAGCCAAACCGGTTAGGGCTGTTACTTATATTTTAGAGGTGAAGAAACTGAGGTTTGAGTTTTTTGCCTGAGGTCAACAGATACTTGGAACCAGAACTTAAACCCTCAAGCTGTCTCCAAAACCTATGCTCTAAGCCACTTTCCTATACTGTCTCTAATTTTCATTCTCTGCTTCTAGCACTTACTTTTCTGTCAGCTGAGATTTGGGAAGAGTCTAATGGATGTTACTATTCTGATGTCTCACAAAGCACTTCAACCTCAACATGTCTAGAATGTAGCTTATGTTCTTTCCAACTCCCCTCTTTCTCTTATGTTCTCCATTTCATTAAATGATCCCACTGTCTAGTTTCCAGAACTACTCCCTGCCACTCAACCCTCACATACAATCAGTCACCAAGTTCTAGTATTTGTGCATATTAAAATAATCAGCTCTCTGTGGCCAGGTGGCTCAGTTGGTTGGAGCGTCATACTGTATACCAAAAAGGTAGCAGGTTTAATTGCCTGTCAGGGTACATACCTAGGTTGTGGGTTGGATCCCCAGTTGGGGCACATGTGGGAAGCAACTGATCAATGTTTCTCTCTCCTCACATTGATGTCTGTCTCTCTCTCTCTCTCTCTCTCTCTCTCTCTCTCTCTCTCTCTCCCTCCCTCCCTCCCTCCCTCCCTCCCTCCTTCCCTCCTTCTTTTCCTCCTTCTCTCTTTCTCTCCTCCCTCTACCCCTCTTCTCCTCTCTCCTTCTCTCAAAATCAATTAAAAATCATATCCTCGTGTGAGGATTAAAAAAAAAAAAAAGTTGGCTCAGCCATTTGCTTCCCTCTGTCCCTATATTGTATTTCCTTGGCATAGGCTACCATCATCTCAGGACTTCTGTATTTATTATAGCAGCTTTTTAAACAGTCTCAACAGTCTTTTATTTAAAATATTCTCTATTCATTCCTATTAAGCCAGAACATTTTTTCTAAAATGCAGATTGATCATGTTTCTGATGTGTTTGAAACCCTTCAGTGGTTTCCCAATGCCCTCAGGATGGAGTCTAAACTATAGCGCCTATAGGAACGAACCTTCATTATTTACCCCTATGTAGTTCTTCAGTCTCAGATCTGCCATTCCCCTTCCCTTATAATAAACTTCTTTTAGGTTCCAATTACTTGAAAAGCCACATGTTTTTGTGCTTACAGATTTCAGTCATGTTGTTCCCTCTGCTGAAACACTCTATTCCTACACTTTTAAATCAGATGGGTTTCTACTTACGCTGGAGTCTCAGCTTAGGGCCATTTTCTCTGTGAAGCTGTCTGTGGTTTCCTCTTTCTTCCATCTTACCTTCCCTCTTCTTCCAAAGTTGGTTTAGGTGTCACTCTGATTTCAGTATACACTGTACACTATTACATTCTTTTTCATAGTAAAAATTGTATTTTGTTGTGATTGCTTATGTAATCGTGATCTGCTCCTTCTCCTTTCCCCACAAATTTTAAGCTCCATGAGAGCATACCTATGAGTATTGTATTTTTAATTTCTGAACAATGCTTAGTATATAATTGTTGACACTTAGTAAAT